CATGACATAGATTGGCTGATCGAACGACAGCGGCGCGCGTGTGTGGCTTTTGTTTTGGATCCAATAGGTCTAACCCACTTTATCCATAATCCCACTCTTCTACAAACTTGGGTATCCCTCAAGGCCCATCCCAAGTATCCCAAGCTAGAGTATATAAATCCATTCAAAATCATAAGTCTTTCCAATGTAGGACAAGCACATTTCACAAATGTATAGGAAACCTACCTATAGCCATTTCCACGAACCTGAAAATGCGCGTTGAATTCTCATTCATCTGGAAATGGTTTTGAGCAACCAAGTAGACAATGTTATTCACTATGCTGCATTAAACACGAACCAAAAAATAAGGTGATATCTTTTCTTCAATACTACTTTTTTTCTTTTTTTTTTGCTTTACCTGATCTCTTTATCTGGTCATTTTCATCATCATCACGGCCTAACACATCATGAACATGTAATCTTCTTTTCTAATACCAAAGCCCACTTCCTCTTGAAGCTCAAAAAGAGTGAAATCATTCAAACCCAGATTAGGGGGGCAAAAAAAAGAATCAAAAGGAAGTAGTAATCAAAAGTGAGAGAGAGAGAGAAAAGAAGAAGAAGAAGAAGAAATCATCACAATTCAAGCACTCAAAGATGAACAGCGTACACTAAAATTAACAAAGAAAAATGAGCGAATTGTTATAATAAGAAGGAGATTGAGATGGTGTGCGTGTGCGTGTGCGTGTGCGTGTGAGAGAGAGAGAGAGTAGTGCTGAGTAGAGAGAGAGAGAAGATGTTGGAGTATTTGAATGGAGATGAGAGGAACAAAGATAGAAAGAAGAGAACAGATATAGAGATAGAGATAAAGAGGAGATGAGAGGAGAGAGAACACTCTTCGGGCTACTTGAGTCTCAATAAATTGAGTTATGAGGCATTTTCCTATTTCTAAATCATATATATTTATCATCTATCTATCTACACTATATATTAAGCAAAATGGAATTTTTAACCCCAAGGCCTGTAGAAGTTTTAATATGTCAATCCTAATTTTCTAATTTTTTATTTTTTTTTAAAAAAAAAATTTAACCTCAGCATTTATTAACTTCTTTCAACCCACAAGACTTTTTGACTTCTCTCATAATTACTGCAGTACATTTTTCAAAACAAATCATTTGTATATTAAAAAAAAATTACAACAAATATAAATATCTATATTTATATCTATCTTTAACTCACAAGTTTTGGGAAGTTCCAATATCTGAACCTTAATTTCTTAATTTTTTTTGATTTTTTTTTTAAAAAAAATTTAGCACTTATTAAATTCTTCCAAGTCTTTTTTATTTCTCCAATACACACACTATTTTTAACTTTTCACGTACCTATTGCAAACAGTGAGTCTCCTTTTTGTTTTTTCTTTCTTGACTTTTCACTTCTACACTTTCAACTTCAGTGACCACGTATGCAAACAATAAGTCTTCTTTTTGTTTTCTCATTCTTGACTTTTCCTTTTATTTACTGTTTTAATATTGTAGTTAGATAGCGCATAAAAATATTTGTGATTTGTCTAGCAAATAAAAAATTATAATTTGATTTTTTAATATGATTGAAGTTAGATAAGTATAAACCCTCACAAAGAGAAAAATTTGATTATAATTAGTTGAATGATTCTTTTTTTTTTAATGTGAGTGTAGTTAGTTTAATAGTTCTTTTTTTTTTCATTTATGTATTTTATTATGTGAAAAATGTGATGTGATTGTAATTTGTTCAAAGACTCTTTTTTTTAATATGATTGTTGTAGTTAGTTCAATAATTTTTTATTAATGTTATTTAATCTTTTTATTTATTATTTTAATTTTATTTTTGATTTTTTAATGTGATTGAAGTTAGATAAATATAAACCCTCACAAAGAGAAAAATGTGATTATAATTAGTTGAATGATTCTTTTTTTTTTTTAATGTGATTGTAGTTAGTTTAATAGTTTTTTTTTCATTTATTTATTTTATTATGGGAAAAATGTGATGTGATTGCAGTTTGTTCAACGGCTCTTTTTTTTTAATATGATTGTTGTAGTTAGTTCAATGGTTTTTTTTAATGTTATTTAATCTTTTTATTTACTATTTCAATTTTATTTTTAATATGATTGAAGTTAGATAAACATAAATAATCATAAAGAAAAAAATGTGATTGTAGTTAGTTCAATGGTTCCTTTTTTTTTTTTAATGTGATTGTAGTTAGTCAATGGTTTTTTTTTCATTTATTTATTTTTTTTATTATGGAAAAAATGTGATGTGATTGTAATTTGTTCAATGGTTCTTTTTTTTAATGTGATTTAATCTTTTATTTACTATTTTAATGGTTTTTCTTTACAATCTATCTATCTATCTATCTATCTATCTATCTATCTATTTATATCTATATCTATACTTCTATACTATATATTAAGCAAAATAGGATTTTTAACCCTCAAGGCCTGTGGGAGTTTCAATATCTCAATCTGAATTTTCTAAATTTTTTATTTTTTATTTAAAAAAAACTCAGTATTTATTGATTTGGTCAAAATCTTCTGATCAGCATTTATTAAATTTTTTCAATCCACATGCTTACATTTATTGATTTGGTCAAAATCCACTAATCAGTATTTAAAATCCCCTCATACAAATAATCATAGATACAATCCGTGTATAGTTATTGTAGTACGCTTATCAACTTCTCCCATACACTATGGTTAGTGATAAGATTGTTAAATTATTTTTATAAAAAAAATTTAAAAAAAATCTAAAACAAATATAAATATTTATAATTATCCCGTGTATAGCACAGGTGATAGGCTAGTGCTATATATTAAGCAAAATGGGATTTTTAACCCCAAGGCCTGTAGGAGTTTCAATATGTCAATCCTAATTTTCTAATTTTTTATTGTTTTTAAAAAAAAATTAACCTCAGCATTTATTAACTTTTCTCAACCTACAAGACTTTTTGACTTCTCTCATAATTACTGCAGTACCTTTTCCAAAACAAATCATTTGTATATTAAAAAAAATTAAAACAAATATAAATATCTATATCTATATCTATCTCTAACTCACAAGTTTTGGGGAGTTCCAATATCTGAACCTTAATTTCTTAATTTTTTTTGATTTTCTTTTTTTAAAAAACTTAGCACTTATTAAATTCTTCCAAGTCTTTTTTACTTCTCCAATACACACATTATTTTTAACTTTTCACATACCTATTGCAAACAGTGAGTCTCCTTTTTGTTTTTTCTTTCTTGACTTTTCACTTCTACACTTTCAACTTCAATGACCGCATATGCAAACAATAAGTCTTCTTTTTTTTTTTTCTCATTCTTGACTTTTCCTTTTGTTTACTGTTTTAATATTGTAGTTAGATAGCGCATAAAAATATTTGTGATTTGTCTAGCAAATAAAAAATTATAATTTGATTTTTTAATATGATTGAAGTTAGATAAGTATAAACCCTCACAAAGAGAAAAATGTCATTATAATTAGTTGAATGATTCTTTTTTTTTTAATGTGATTGTATTTAGTTTAATAGTTTTTTTTTCATTTATTTTTTTTATTATGGGAAAAATGTGATGTGATTGCAGTTTGTTCAATAGCTCTTTTTTTTTAATATGACTGTTGTAGTTAGTTCAATGATTTTTTTTTAATGTTATTTAATCTTTTTATTTACTATTTCAATTTTATTTTTAATATGATTGAAGTTAGATAAACATAAACACTCACAAAGAAAAAAATGTGATTGTAGTTAGTTCAATGGTTCTTTTTTTTTAATGTGATTGTAGTTAGTCAATGGTTCTTTTTTTCATTTATTTATTTTTTTTATTATGAAAAAAATGTTATGTGATTGTAGTTTGTTCAATGGTTCTTTTTTTTAATGTGATTTAATCTTTATTTACTATTTTAATAGTTTTTCTTTACAATCTATCTATCTATCTATATCTATATCTATATCTATACTTCTATACTATATATTAAGCAAAATAGAGTTTTTAACCCCCCAGGCCTGTGGGAATTTTCTAAATTTTTTATTTTTTATTTAAAAAAAACTCCAGTATTTATTGATTTGGTCAAAATCTCCTGATCAGCATTTATTAAATTTTTTCAATCCACATGTCTTTCCACATGCCTACATTTATTAATTTGGTCAAAATCCACTAATCAGTATTTAAAACTCCCTCATACAAATAATTATAGATACAATCCGTGTATAGTTACTGCAGTACGTTTTTCAACTTCTCCTATACGGTTAGTGATAAGATTGTTAAATTATTTTTATAAAAAATATAATTTATATATTAAAAAAATCTAAAATAAATATAAATATTTATAATTATCCCGTGTATAGCACGGGTGATAAGTTAGTATATATTTAAGTTGATTATAATTATTAATAATGTTAGAGGCGAAAAAAAAAGGGCAAATTACATATACACCCCTCGAAGTTTGGCTAAATTACAGATGCCCCTGAGGTTTGAGAAATTACGAATTCCCCCTGAATGCTATATTTGCATAAGAAATTAGGGGTAATTTGTTATGAAATATAAACCTCAGGGGGCAAATTGTTATAAAAATACAAACCTCAGGGCGGGATGTAATTTCCAAAATCTCAAGAGTATCTGTAATTTAGTCAAACCTCGAGGGGTGTATATGTAATTTGCCCAAAAAAAATGTTATCAAAAGTTTTATCTAACATTTTTTTTTTTTTTCTCTAACATTTCCAGACAATTATACCATACACATCTAACGTGGACACTCTTAGCCTCCGTTTGGGAAGTGGGTTGGCTTTTTGGCTTTTTGGCTTTTTTAGCTATTTTAGCCTGGGCTTAAAAGCTTGGTTTGGGAAGGGCTTTTTGACTTTTTGGCTTTTTTGAGTTTTTTTGTGAGAGAAGAATGTAATGATTATGGGTTGGATGTGATGTTTTGTTTGTTATGACTAAAATAACCTATTTTGTTTTTTGTGACTAAAATAGCCAAAAAAGCCTCCAACCCACCTTCCCCACAATCGTGGGAATTTTCGTACAAAATCGGATTCTCTCCGCAAATTCGATTGGAGAATCCACGCACTGCAAATTCGATTGGAGAATCCACGCAATCACCATCGTATTATAGTCTCACCAAATCGAATCCCAAAGCAATCCCTCCCTCCCTCCGAGGGTTTACCAAATCTCTCTCTCTCTCTCTGTCTCTCTCTCTCTAACCTGAAGAGAGAGACCACCAAAAATGTCAGCCGACGCTTCGCCGCCGGTGGATCAAAAGTCCGCCGTAACACTAGCCGACACCGCCGAAGAGGCCTTGTTCTCTCAGCGGGTCTTGATCCGGAGCATAATTTGTCGCCCCGATGGCGGGTCCGGGTTGGCGGGCCAGAAGGTACGAGTCGGTGGGTGGGTGAAGACCGGGCGTGAGCAAGGTAAGGGATCGTTCGCATTTCTGGAGCTGAACGACGGGTCGTGCCCGGCGAACCTCCAGGTCATGGTGGACGCCGCCGTGGCGCCGCTGGGACAGCTGGTGGCGACAGGCACGTGCGTGCACGTGGAGGGGGAGCTGAAGGAGCCTCCGGAAGGAGCGAAGCAGAGGATCGAGCTGAGGGTTGAGAAGGTTCTGGAAGTGGGGACTGTTGATCCGGCTAAGTATCCATTGCCTAAGACAAGGCTAACCCTTGAATTTCTCAGAGACTGTGTTCATCTTCGTCCCAGAACCAATACGGTGTTATATACTACACTCTTACTCTATCTATCTCCTCTCCTATATATATATATATATATATAACTCATATATTTGCATTGAGGGTTGGTTGATTACATTTCTAGCCTTCAAATATGAATTTGGTGTTATTTTGCTCTCTACCGTTTAAATTGTGGGAAAAATTGTATGGTACACAAGGGTTTGTGTAGCATCTGCACCTTATATTTAGAGAAGAAAATATTATGACTTCAAATGGCATAACTAAATACGAAAAAAAAAAAAAAAAAAGTCAAAAAAAGTCAGATGAGTGTGGAATTTGTTGGATTTAAATTTTACAAGAGAAAAGCCTAAATTTTACTTAGGTTGATTAAAATCTTGCCAATACTGCAATATTGTGGTAATTAATTATTTGCCTTGAAACAATTTCAGCATTGGCATACTGCTCATTCAATGTTGGCTTTTATGATGTTATTTTAACAGCAATTACTATTGTCTTTGGACTCAGATTTCTGCAATTGCTCGCATCCGTAATGCACTGGCTTATGCTACCCATACATTCTTCCAGAAACATGGGTTTCTTTACGTGCACACTCCAATTATCACCACTAGTGATTGTGAGGGTGCTGGTGAAATGTTTCAAGTCACAACCTTGATTAATGATGCAGAAAAGTTGGAAAAAGAGCTGATTAAAAACCCTCCTCCATCTGAAGCAGACCTGGAATCCGCTATGCTTCTTGTCAAGGACAAAGGAGAGGCTGTTGCCCAACTAAAATCAGCCAAAACAAGCAAGGAGGAAATTAATGCTGCTGTTGCTGAGCTAACAAAAGCTAAAGAAAATCTTTCAAAGCTCGAAGAGAGATCTAAGCTCAAACCTGGGATTCCCCAAAAGGATGGGAAAATTGATTATTCCCTAGATTTCTTTGCACGACAAGCATTTTTGACCGTTTCTGGACAACTTCAAGTTGAAACTTTTGCATGTTGCCTTAGTAGTGTCTATACATTTGGGCCAACTTTTCGAGCTGAGCACTCACATACCTCAAGGCATCTGGCAGAATTCTGGATGGTGGAGCCGGAAATAGCATTTGCAGATCTTGAGGTATATTAAGAATGGAATTTTATGTTCATTATGAAGTATCCAAGTGTTTGCGCAGACTACATTATTAAAGTTGTCAATATTAGTAAGGTTGAGTATGACTTGGAACTTGGTTGATTAATTTGATTTACAAGTTTATTTATTTGCATACAAGCGCAAATAGATTTTGCACGTCTTCTGAAAATATTTGCCAACAAAGCAAGAAGTAAAGAACTAATAGTATATTAGTGAGACTTCCTCATTTATAAGAGAAAAGTAAGTGTTATTTTCTCACATGTTAATGGCTGAAATAAATTGTTGGAACAGTTATATGGTGTCCAGGTGTCATATGCTATTATAGTATTGTTAATCTAATGTCTACCTGATCATATATAAATAATAAAAAAAAGAAGCATTTATAACAATTGCTTTTCTAGAGTTCATATTAGGCCTATTGAATTTCTTAATTCACTTGTCTATCTTCATTTGAAACTAGTGGATGACATGTAAACGGGCAGAACAGATGGATGGAGATTGGAAAGGGCTCCACTTGAAACTTGTAAACAAGATTTTATTGAATTACTATGTAAAATGTGATAGACCAATTGAGCTTTTGTAGGACATCTAAGGCAGTTCATCTTTGATTGTTAAGGTTTTAAGCTTTGTGGTTTTGTTGAATCCTGTTGCTCTAGAAGATACCAAACATTTTTATGTTTTGTAGGATGATATGAAGTGTGCAGAGGCATACGTGAAGTTCATGTGTCAATGGTTGCTTGATAACTGCCTTGATGATATGGAATTTATGGTTAAAAATTTTGATAAAAGTGCAATTGATCGTCTACGATTGGTTGCTTCAACCGATTTTGTCCGCCTTTCTTACACGGAAGCAATTGCAATTCTTGAGGAATCATCGAAAGAAAGGCAGTTTGAGAATAAAGTGGAATGGGGAATTGATTTAGCATCTGAACATGAAAGGTAGCGTGGGTTTTGCATCTTAAATGTGTTCTTTGACAGCTGTGTCTGTAGTACTGATGTTATGGTTTGTCTGATCATGTAGATTCTTGACTGATGTGAAATTTAAGTCACCTGTTATTGTGTATAATTACCCAAAAGGGATCAAAGCATTTTATATGAAGGTTAATGCTGACAACAAAACTGTAGCTGCTATGGATGTGCTTGTACCAAAGGTATGGTCTTTTTCTATATCCACATTTGGGATGCTTACTTTCTTAATGCAAAATGCACGTCATTCAAATATACAGCTGTTTTAAAAAAATTATTGTAGCTATACAGCAGTTGTAAAATGCTTCTTGTATCTTGTGACAGCATGAGAAAACCTTTTATGCTTTATTTGGTTCACTAGAATGAAGTAGAATGGAATGATCATTCCAACATAATATCCATTTTCACATTTGGTTTACTTAAAGTTGATGGAAAATGTATTACACATGAAATCACCATTGTAAGGGAATAATCATTCAATAAGGAGGTTTAAGGAACGACCATGCCATTCCATTCTATTTCATTTAAGTAAATCAAACACTACATTAGAGGATCTACTTGCAGTCGAGATTGGCTATTATGTTTGCCTAAGATGAAATCTGTTGGATTTCTTAATTTTCAGGTGGGAGAGCTAATTGGAGGAAGTCAAAGGGAAGACACACTTATAAAAGCATCAAATCTTGCATAATTGTTGCGTTGAAATAATTTTAGCAGTAGGAGCATACTACTTACTTGAAGTTGGCTTTTTAAATTATTTTTATGACAGTTGCTGTTTATACTGGATTCAACGAGGTCATTCAGGAAAGGTAGGCAAAGTTATTACCCCAGATTTTTTTTATTTTCTTTAGTATGTTTGCTAGTGTTTTTGAAGTTCCCTTGGATTGTTTATTGGTTTGCACTGACTCATTCTTTGAGTTGACAATTTAACCATATGAATTGATATGTTTTTCTATATAACAGGATACTGGAGATGGGGCTTCCTCTTGAGCCATACGAGTGGTACCTTGATCTTCGACGCTACGGCACTGTTAAACATAGTGGATTTGGTTTAGGCTTTGAACGGATGATTCTCTTTGCCACGGGGCTTGACAACATTAGAGATGTCATTCCCTTCCCTAGATACCCGGGAAGAGCAGATCTGTGATTTATTACTTGGTAATGCAGATGCCAAGATAGCTTTTCTATTATACCCAACTACTTTGTTTACTGTTGTCATCCTAAACAGAATTAAATACAGAAACTGTGATAGTGAATTTGTATCAGCCATATGAGTTGGTTTTGATGATGGATTGAGTTGGCAGGATGTGCATTCAGAATAAACGCACAATTACCTTCTCTCTTTTTATTTTTGAACATATTAAACACACAATTATCAAGGATGGTGAAAATGTAATTGGTTTCACATTTGGCTGTTCTAGGAATTGTTGTATAGATTTTCAATTAACCTGATATGTAATAGAAGATTATGAGGAAGTTACCAATTGAAGTTAAGAGTACAAATGTAATCAAATGTGTAGAGGGCCATTATGCTTGACTTTCTTCTCTCATTCTAGATTTCCTTCAGTCTCTCGTTCTTCATATTTCAGATGTCTAGAGATTTGGAAACTTGTTTTACCATCTTGGCTAAATATGTTATCTTAGGTAAAATGATAAATGAAATTATCATGGTGATGAGGGTGGTCGCCTTAATTCTAAAATTAGGACTCTGCTTGAAAAAACCATCGAGTTTGACCCCTTTTAAAGGGAGTTTCACTTTCTTTTTCCCTCTTACTTTGCTTTTTAATATATATATATATATATATATATATATTTTCTATTTTTTTGCTCCCCTTTGAATTTTACAATTGAGTAGGAAGCGAATATAAAACGATCATTAATCTCTCTCAAAAGATAATTTTAAACAGCCATTAAAAACAGCTGTCGGAAGAAATTTTGGAAGAGAAACAAGTTATGAACCTTCTCAAATCAATTATCTCGAGTACTTTCCTTTGTTTTATAAAGCAAGCATTATTATCATGGAAAGATATATAGGCATCTTTTAACTATAGAGAAAATGAATATACTTTATTACTTTTTAAATCATAACTAAAAAAATTTAAAAAAATCATAAACCAAATACAAAAAATCATAATTAAAATTTCAAAATAATATCAATAATAAAAAAAAAAATTAGTCATAATTATAAATAATAATAATAAATAAACGACATAACTAAAAGTGCATGTGATGTGATATAGCATGTGATATGAGGTGATACATAATAAAAAATTCTCCTATTATCATAGACATCTCTAGAAAGCTTTCTTACAACAAAAATAGGATTAAAACAAAACGATGGGAGAACTCATGATAGAATACTTTGAAGCATGATCAGGATTTATATATTCATGTTTGAGATGAATTAGGCTCTACTAATAAACCGCTGCACTAACAGAGATTGGGGTTTTTCTCGAAATAAATTATGACTTTTCTCACATATCCTAATAGCTTGCTAGGTACTGTTTCCTCGTATTTTTTGGGTTGGTAATAACAGTAACTAGTTTTTGAAACCAGTAAACCAGTTTGCAGGAAGAAAAAAGATGTATTGAGATGTAACCAGAGGATGACAAATTTGAAGCACTAACATAATTGCTTAATACAACCAAACAAAGTCTATGGTCTAATCAGTAAGGACCAAAATACCAGGAAAACTTAAACCAGTATCTTTAACACTCAACACTAGCCAAAACTCTCATATATCAACTCCTTGCTGCAAATGGCAGGAAGGTATGACAATCAATCATCATCTTCTTCAATGACCTTGGTACCCATCCCTTTAGCCCTTCCGGTGGAATTTCAGCAACTGTACAAGAGAGTAAAGCTCTTCCTTGCATCTTCATCATCATTTTCTTGCGAGCAATACGAACTCTAATCCGCCTTGGACACTTCGAATCCCCCTGCTCCAGATGTGTTGTTTAGCTTCACATCCACCCTCACATCCTTGGTTCCCATGCTTTCTGCGCAAATTTCCTGATCTCCTTTATGGCATTAGGAGCCTTCTTCTGAATGGCTGTTATTTGCAGTCACAGTACAGCAAAACAGAGTCACATCCTTTCGCATGATATCACAGAACAAATCAGTTAAATCATTTATACATGATCAATCCTCTTTTATGTACTTTATAAAAGGTGTAAATACAGATGAGAGGATTTTTTTTTTTTTTTTTTTTTTTGTGGAAGTACATATAATAGTATTTTTGTTCTAATCACAATAACTAGTGAACCATTGCACAATTTACAACGATATGCACCCCACAATTGACAATAACATAGGTCAAACACTGATACAGCGCCTCAGAACTTCTTATTAACCCAATAATGATCAATTCACATGCACTAACAACAAACTCCAGCACATTCTTAAAGCAAGGATGAATCTTTTAAAGGCTAAGACAGGATAGATACATTTAGGAACAAATATGAACAGTAAACTATATGAATTTCACTTGCATTACTTCATTCATTGCACCAATCCCCATTCTAGACATGTCTCAACTACGACTGCTACACGGAACTACGCTACACGACTAAACACGCAGCAAAAGTACATAAAACCAAAAATAACATTTTCACACTAAATTAAATAAAGATTTGAAAAATCATTCAGTTGAACAACGGGATAAGGCAGTAATCATCAATAACCTCTTTGAAGACCCTTAAGGCAATGAAATGAGAAGAACCAGATTCAATCTCAAGTCGATAAAATATCGCCACAAAGAAAACAACATTATTTGCTCAACCTCAGAAGATGAAAAACCAACTCATTCATAGCCAAGACCAGATTTTCTAGCTCAAATTAATGAATCCTTGAATCCATCTAGTGTAAGTAACTACCTCTTTCCATTAATTCTGAGTAATGATCTCAAAAAACAGTAAGAAATCAGCCAAACATATAATACTATATATAATCTATATATGGTGCTATATGAGCTAGAAATTATAAGCAAACACAAACATTCAAGCCTATAATTAAATTGCAATAAGAATGTAATGGTTAAAAAGCAGCACAGAGAATCATATAGAAGATATATAAGAACATATACTAGTATATATAATATAGTATATCATGGTAAGATTGTGAATACAAGTATAGAGCTGTGCAAGCGCTTGTGGAGGGTTGATGTGTACTCCCTAGTCACCACCTCTTCCTTCCTTCCTTTCGTCTTCTCGACATTTTCTCTCTCTATCTCTCTCTCTCTCCTCTCTCTTCGAGCACTCCTCAGCAGCAAAGCCTGCACAAAATCCAAATACACAAAACACAAATCGTTTGAATTAGCTATAGCTTTCATTTGTTAAATAACTCAGATCTGCATCGAATCGAGACCATGGAATCGAGAGAGAAAGACAGAGAGAGAGACCTCTAGGGTTTGGAGAACGGAATCTAGAGAAGCGAAATGAAGATGAGACAAGTATATAAACCCTAATGGGATGCCCTAGAAAAGGTCTATTTGGGTTGATTTGGGCATATCTTGTCCATGGACAATGAACTCTATTTGGGTTTCTTTTGCGCCCAATTGTTACAAAGCCCAGAAACCGTACTCTTATTTTACTCATATTTTTTTTTTTGGATACTTACCAAAGTTTCATACACAATCAAAATTTATCGAATCTCAAAACAAATACTTGCACCAATTAATCTTATATATTTTAATTGTTGCCAAATTCTTTCTTTTAATTATTTTTGATCACTTTAAAAATGATTGTTTAAAAATATTGTTACATCTCAACGACTTCCGTCAGACTCACCGAAGACTCGCGGAATATTCAATATCACTGGAAAGTCGTCGGGTATCACCGGAAGTTTATCGAAGTTGTTGAGCATCGTTAGAGTTCGCCAGAGTGTTCCTGAACGTCATTGAAAAATGTCAAGAACATCATCGGAGACCACCAGAATATCAAATATTGCCCAAACAAAAAGAATAAATGGAAAATTATAGTTAAACAACATAATAACAACAAACAACTAAGCAAAAATCGTAATATTGATCAAACTAAAAAAGTTAAGTAATTTGAAACTGCTGAAACATGTTATTAAACTGCAAAATTTTACAGTTCTAAAGAATATTATGAAACTGTAAATTTTAAATTTTAAAGCATGATTCATTTAGCACCAAAAAAGCTAAAATCTGTAAAATTTTATATTTTCTCCGCCTGTAACTAAAACTCAATAACAACTTAATTTAGAATTTGAATTTTTCTCCATTAAAACAGAAAATAGGCGTGTGTAAAGAGAAAAGGTAAAAATTTGAGAAATCGAAGAGAATAATAGATATAGAAAGCATATTATACTCGGCAACTATTTTTGTTTAGATTAGTCGGATTTTATGTATGATCTACTCAATAAGTAGATCTGACATCATATTGAGTAGATTTACTCTTCTTCTTCGCCGTCGATAAGGATGAAATAACGAGTTGATGTGATGGTTGGCGGTTGGCGGTGAACTCCAATCAATGATGGTCGTCGTCACCGGTGACTATATATTAGAAAAAGAAAGAGATAAGAAGTGTGGATCACCGGTCGTCGCAATAAAAGAAAATAAGAAAAAACGTAGAAAAAGAGAGAGGAAACGTAAAGTATGAGGAAAAAAAAGCAGAGAGAGAAAAAGTGTAAGATTTTAGGTCTACTCAAATGTTGTTGGATTAATAATGTAACATATTTTAAACAAGATCTACGGATAATTTCCTTTTTTTTTTAATAAATAATAATTATTTTTATTATTATTTTTTTTAGGCTCAGCGAGATAAAGCTCGATTCGCTGGTATGTAATTACTTTACTGTCTTTATGAGCATTCGAAGTACTTCTTATAGCCAGACTAACGTCTGAGTTTGTTTCTCCGATGTTGATTAATTTTTAATATACAAATTTAAACACTCAAAAGTAGGACTTGATTGGTTTGAACTTATGCACAGAGCACAGGCACCAGATTGCGTCATCATCAAGAAACCAAAAACAAAAACAAAAACTTTAAAAACAACTAAAATAATTGGTTTTAATTACATTAAGAAAGAGATGCATCAAAGGGCGTTTGGTCTAGTGGTATGATCTTGCTTTGGGTGCAAGAGGTCCCGAGTTCGATTCTCGAACGCCCGGGCAAAGTTTTAAAACGAGTAAAATTTTTTTGAAAAACCATGTCTGCTTTGTTGAAATCATCTTTTGTGACTCAACCATTGGATAGTGTTTTGTGAATCATTTTAAGGAATTGATCAAGCAAGCAAATCTTCCACTTTTATTTTTTGTTTTATGTCATTTGACAGATTTTTTTATGATGCAATTTTGTATCGATTGCATATTTGAGATTGTATGAAATAATTTTATCCATTATGTCAATTAGTTGTTTTTTGATATGTGGTGCAGGTTGATGAAATGGTTATAAAATGACGTGGTGTGTTCTCGGTCGTTTTAGACCTCATTTTGGAATCAATTTCGATAATCGCTAATCGTTATTTTTTTA